ACTAATCCCCACATTTTACCCAATCTTACACTTGGCTTCCAAATCTATTTCACTTCAAAATGGATGTATCATGCCTCAATGGAACTCCTTTCCTCTAAAGGTAGATTAATTCCTAACTACAACTGTGACATCCAGAAATATCCAGTAGCAATAATTGGAGGGCCTGAAACTGAAGTATGCCTTCACATGGCCATCATTCTGCACATCTACAAGTTTCCTCAGGTAATTATGTATGTGGAGTACGAATACAATCCAGTTAAACATCTCATTCCTTTTAGATAGGACTTGGTCACTGAGAAAAATTAAACACTGACTGAAATCAAAGGCATATTTTTCTTTCAACCTGAATTGAAATCCATGAAACACATCTGTTAATGGCTGCTCCTTCTTCAATTGCTTGGGTAATAATAACCGGATGGAGAGCCTCATGCACATTACCTGGACCTAGAAAGCTCCTGGTGTACCAAATATTACTGGCTGCATTCACAGAACATACTTAATAACTAAATTAGCCCTTTTCTGAGTTCCCACAATGGACTGAGCCAAATGTCTGTGTTTATACAGCATAGGAAGCCGCAAAGAAGCCTAAGCAAGATTAAGACAAGCAAAGATTTGTAAATTGTGCAAAACGACCCTTAAACTCTTATGCTTGAAAGTCTTGGAGGAACACAACTGCCAAATCTAAAACTGGTAATATGAAATGGATCTATACCTTTGCTTATGCTCTACAGTTAGAAAAGTATATCAAGACACTTTTAAAAAAATTAAAGCCTATTGTCTCCTTTCCTAATTCTTCTGTATTTTCTATAGTTCATGTATGGCTCTGCTCCAATAACAAATAAGGACAAACAGGCTGGTTACTATCACCAAATGTTTCCTAATACGGACCATCAGTATAAGGGAATTCTTCAGCTGCTGCAACATTTTAAGTGGACATGGATTGGGGTTGTATCTGTGAATAATGACAATGGAGAAAAGTTTGTACAAAATGTGGTACCAATGTTTGCTGAGAGTGGGATCTGCTTTGACTTCATTGAAAGATTCCCAATGATTTCTTATTCCAGTGACATTGTCAATATGGTGAAAGAAGGAATGAAAATGTACTCTGTTGTCATGAACAGCACTGTAAACTCAGTGTTAATTTTAGGTGAAATTGATATAATGATAATTTTGAGAATGGTTCCCACTATGGCAAAATATGAAGATATACCATTAAAAGGAAATGGTAAAATCTGGATTATGACAGCCCAGATGGATTTCACATCTCTTCCCTTTCAGAAACAGGAAGATCTAGATTTTCTCCGTGGTGCTCTGTCTTTTGCAGTTCATTCAAGAGAGGTCCTAGGGTTTCGGGAATTTCTTCAGACAATAAAACCGAACTTCAGTCAAGAAGATGGGTTTATTAGGGTTTTCTGGAAGGAGGCGTTTGGATGTGTGTTCTCAGGCTCCATGGTAGATGGGGAACCCAACTCCATGATGGAGAGTCAACCGATCTGCACCGGGGAGGAGAAGCTAGAGACCCTCCCTGCATCTGTTTTTGAAATGGACATGACTGGCCACAGCTATAGCACCTACAGTACAGTCTATATTTTGGCCCAGGCATTAAATGTTGTTCATTCAAATACCTTGAAGCATAGAGCAAGAAGAGGGGAAGTAAGTCCTGTTGAACTTGTGAAACTTCACCCATGGAAGGTAATGTTTCAAGGACACTAAGAAATATAAAGTGTGTAGATTGGTCTCTACCTCATCTAATGGCCAAATTAAATATTTAGTTCAACATCATTTTGCTTTTGGTCAGAATGTATTTCCAATTAAATAATATTTTTAAAAAGGAGTAGGGTCAAGAAAAAAGCAAAATGCATTTCTCAGATGCACAAGACGCAAGGATTCACAATTCTTACTGAGTGCCTTTACTTTCCTTCTCTCCATTTATATCTCAGACACACAGGAAACACTATTCCAGTATTTCAAAACAGGAAACAGCCAGATTTTTGGTATTGCTACTATTTCTTCTTTATGGGGTTCAGAATGTTTTTTTACTGATTTTAATCATCCAATGACATTTTTCTTATAAATTTAATTTTAGTGATGTCATCATCATTATTTATATGAAAATTAAGCTGAGAAACATTTAAACACTTAGTAATTTTTTTCTCTCTTTTAGCTTTGTTACGGGTAATATTGGAATGTTTGGAATTTCACAAATGACAGCATGCAAGAACTATCTGGTGAACCAGTTCAATTTCTTTTTTCTCCTTTCATCTGTAACATTTAATAATTATAAAAGCACTGGTTTCTCCAAGAGTGTGACTCTTTCACCTAAATAGTTCTGCAAACAGCATACTGCTAAGAAAATAAATATTCCCTCTTTCCACTTCTGACTTCAGAAGAGATTCAAAATTAATGTATGGCTTAAATTGCTTTATGAGGCTATGTTTACCTATCTGCCTTCTGCAAGAGGAATGGAGGGTTCAAGGTGTGTCTATCACTGTGCATATAACTATTATGAAATTCCCAACACTGTCAATCAAGGGGTTGAACTAAAATTTGCTAGCCAACCTGTCATGGCTAGCAGAACTTTGATTTTCAGATCTGCTTCTCCCTCTTTGGAATTTATGTTGGACAGGCTTCAACCCATACCAGGCTGTCTTCTTCCCTCCCTTCTCCTCTTTGGTGAAATTCTATCATGGAAGAACTTTCTTCAGTGGTCTGAAACTTTGGTTGAACTTTGGTTGCTAGCCATCTTCTCTGTTTGAACTATTCTCTTCCTGTAAGCTCCTTAGCCAGTTCAACTTCCTTCCTTCCCTCAACTGTCAATGAAAGACTCTCACTCTCTCCAAATAAAACAATCTCTCTCACAGCACTTTCCCAGACTCAGATTATCAGATACAAGTAAGTGTCCACATCTCTGAGAACTTGTAACAGGAAGGTAGACAGTGTTTGTCTCCTCCATTAACATATAAGCTACATATTAAAAAGTTTATTTCCTATATTGCTGTAGTGGAGATAGGTCTTTGCCATTTTATAGATCGTCATGAATTGTTTGTTTCTTCCTTTCATTCTTAATTTTTGGTTCTCTCTCTCTCTCTCATTCAATATTAAACTCCGAATAGAGTAAATTTAATGGTTTAACTAAAACTTAGCTGCCAAACTTTCATGGCAAGCAGATCGATCTATCTATCTATCTATCTATCTATCTATCTATCTATCTATCTATCTATCTATCTATCTATCTATCTATCATTTATTTCACCCTCTCCCCCCCAGAATTTATGCTGGATAGACTTGATCCCATACCAGGCTGTCTTCTTCATTCCTTTTTCCTCTTTGGTGAACTTCTATCATGGATGAACTTTCTTCAGCAGTCTGAAACTACCTAAAGTGAACTTTGCTTGTTAACCATCTTCTCTGTTTCAACTATTCTCTTCCTGTAAGCTCCTTAGCCTGTTTCAACTTCCTTCCTTCCCCCAACTCTCATTAAAGACTCTCACTCACTCCAAATAAAACAATCTGTCTCCTCTTTTCCAGACTCTGATTATCAGATTAAATGATTTTGACAACTTGTAACAGAATGGTAGGCAGCGTTTGTCTCCCCCATTAACATATAAGCTGAAATGGAGACAAATATTCCCCATTTTATAGATCCTCATGAATTGTGTGTTTCCTCCTTTCATTCTTAATTTTTGGTGTTCTCTCTCTTTCTGTGTGTCTTTGTGTGTGTTTTGTAGCTCAATAAAATTGTTAGAAGCATCTCATTCAATAATACTGCAGGAGAAACACTATCTTTTAACCAAAATGGAGAACTAGAGGCTGGATTTGATGTCATCAATTGGGTCACATTCCCAAACAAGTCCTTCAAGAAAGTCAAAGTTGGTGGAATAGGGTCTGTGACTTCCCAAGAGGACATGTTAATGATCTATGAGGAAGCCATCATTTGGCCAAGTAGGTTTAACCAGGTAGGGTAAAACACATGTTTGGATAATCCAGGATCACATTATCAATGTTTAACTGAATAGATGTGAGCTTTGGAACAGTTTTAGTGATTTTTCTTGTCTTCTCATGCCTGAAGTACTAAAATATGTTCCAGGGAAACCTTCTACTGGTTAATTTTTTAGGGACGGAAATTTAGTTGGCAATACTCCTTCCAAGTTTAAAAAAAAAAAAAAGTGAGAAGTGAGCTAATAATATAGCCAAGTGAACAAGGTTTTTATTTAGTCATATAGTGTTGAAAAAAGGAACAAATTCATTGTAACCAATATGGATCCAAAAATTAGGATAAATATCTACTTATTCCATGAAGATATTTACAATATATAATCCATATCATTTGTGTGTGTGTGTGTGTGTGTGTGTGTGTGTGTGTGTGTAAAATATTAAATCACAGAAGAGGTCACAATCTAACTGATCTTTGCTGATAGTGAAACAACTGAGCCAAGTGGTTGGCAGAATACTAGAAAATCCCAAGGCTGTAGGAAGTTAAAAAAAAACTTCCACAAAGAAGACAGAGGCAAACTACCTCCATTCTGTAGCCAAAAACAGAGACATATTCTTGTGCTAAGCAGAAAATGAGCTTCTGATATAGAGTGGGAGCCTAAATGGAGAATAACTATTAGAATACAGTCTTAGAAAAAACAAACCATTCTTTTCTTTCCTTTATGAACAGGCCCGGCCACTTTCTCTGTGTAATAACTATTGCCATTCGGGTTACGCTAAGACCAAAATAGAAGGGAAGCAATTTTGTTGCTATGATTGTCTTCGCTGTCCAGAAGGGAAGATTTCCAATCTGATCAGTGAGTGATGAAAGACGAGTGATGCAGAGTTTGCAGATATGCTGATATATTAGGTGGTGTTGATATTCACTTCTATGCAGCCAAATTTGTCTCAAAATTGATAGTTGCAATGTGAGGGTGTAACATGATATGACCACAGATCTTAACACTATTTTCTCACTTAGTGAAAAGATCTCTATTTATGTATTTATTTTCTCTGGGCAACTCACATAATGATAATGGTGGGATGCTGAGATATTTGATAGTCAGGTTGTGCAGAGACTAAATCTCTAACAACTGCTTCAAAATGTACATGAGCACAAATATAACACACATCTGCAAGATTTTCAAGCTGTCTTGTCATCCCAGGAAAAGACAGTGGTTTAAGATGATTCAGAGAGGAGATATTTTTGTGCTTCTGCACACCCAAACCCATGTGTGGAGATCAAATCTTATGCTCTGCACATCCTGTTTGATACTTCTAAATTGAATTATGTAACGTGATTGATGATAAAAATAATACAGTGGAATTAGAGATAAATATGTATGGAAGTCCTTCCTTTGCTATCTCAAAAGAATGTTTGCTTAAAAAAAGGGATGGCCTTTCAGAATTTACTTCTTCTATGGAAACAGAAACTCAGGAAAATTTCAGGTTCTACAAAGCAAAATACCTCTCGCTGGATCATACTTCTTCATGCCTGAATGAATATTTATTCAATTGATCATTGAACAAATTATCCCAGAGTTCTCACTCAAGATGCAAATGACCAGCCTCAAATTATCATACTTTGGCCTCATTTTGTGAAGATCTAGCTCTCTGGTGAAGGCTCTAATGCTGGCAAAGCGGGAAGAAAAGGACAACCAGCAGCAAGGACATTAGCCGTCATTAGATTGTCGATAAGTACACTGTTGGAAGACTTGAAATAGCAGGTTACATGGAGCATATCTATTTATGTGGCTAGTAAGAATTGACAACTACTTTGTAGCACATAAGCAATCGATAATCAATGTCACTGCCATGAACAAGCAAAGAAATGGCAATAAATCAGAAGGCGACGAAACAAGCCTCACTTCTCAGAGACCCAGAATAACTTTTCTAGATGAAGTGTACTAAAATTTCAACCATTGTCATGGACAGGCCTTCCTCTCTCACTCACCCTTCCCATTTGTGTCTACAAAGCCTCTGGAAAGAGCCACATTATTCATGTAGCTAATAAAATGGGGCATATGTGGTCAAATCTCTCCTGAAAATATTTCCTATTTTTTCCAAACCTTTATGACACTGAAATGTTCTGTTCTGATTCTTTCAGTTTCAGTTCAGTGCAACCGTCTTTCTAACCTGATTCTTTTTCCTAGATATGGATGACTGCTTTTCATGTCCAGAAGATCAGTATCCAAATAAGGGTCAGAATTCATGTCTTCCAAAAGTTGTAACCTTCCTGACATATGAAGAAACATTGGGGACCATCTTGGCCATTTCTTCTCTTTTTTCTTCTCTGATCACATTGTTGGTTCTGGGTATTTTCACTAAGTACCAGGACACTCCCATTGTCAAAGCCAACAACCAAAACCTCACCTTCATCCTTCTCATTTCCCTCCTACTTTCATTCCTTTGTGCTTTACTGTTTATTGGCAAACCTCATAAAATAACATGTCTCCTCCGACAAAGTGTTTTTGGCATAATATTTACTGTAGCTGTATCATGCGTGTTAGCAAAAACCATCATTGTGATTTTAGCTTTCATGGCCACCAAACCAAAGTCATCAATGAGGAAGTGGGTGGGGAAAAGATTGGCCATTTCCATCCTCATTTTCTGCTCTTTCATTCAAATAGTGCTTTGTACCATCTGGCTGTTGACCTTTCCTCCATTCCCCGATTTCAACATGCACTTAATGGCAGAAG